AAACACTCCTAAACATGACATTAGGAGCAGCAGTGTGCATCAGGCCTAAGGCTTCATCCACATGTATGGCCAGGGGGCAGTAAAACCAGATGGTTGAGCTGTATGTTTAGGGTCATTGTCCTGCTGGAAGGTGTGAACCTCCGCCCCAGTCTCAAGTCTTTTGCAGACTCCAACAGGTTTTCTTCTACGATTGTCTTGTATTTGGCTCCATCCATCTTCCCATCAAATCTGACCAGCTTCCCTGTCCCTGCTGAAGAAAAGCATCCCCACAACATGATGCTGCCACCACCATGTTTCACGGTGGGGACGGTGAGTTCAGGGTGATGTGCAGTGTTTAGTTTTCCACCATACATAGTGTTTTGCTTTTAGGCCAAAAAATTCAATTTTGGTCTTATCTGACCAGAGCACCTTCTTCCATGTTTGCTGTGTCCCCCACATGGCTTCTCACAAACTGCGAATGGGACTTCTTATGGCTTTCTTTCAACAATGGCTTTCTTCTTGCCACTCTTCCATAAAATGCCAGATTTGTGGAGTGTACAACTAATAGTTGTCCTGTGGACAGATTCTTCCACCTTAGCTGTGGATCTCTGCAGCTCCTCCAGCATTACCTGATTTCTCTGATTAATGCTCTCCTTGCCCAGCCTGTCAGTTTAGGTGGACGGCCATGTCTTGGTAGGTTTGCAGTTGTGCCATACTTTTTCCATTTTTTCAGATGATGGATTGAACAGTGCTCTGTGAGATGTTCAAAGCTTGGGATTTTTTTTTATAACCCAACCCTGCTTTAAACTTCTCCACAACTTTATCCCTGACCTGTCTGGTGTGTTCCTTGGCCTTCATAATGCTGTTTGTTCACTAATGTTCTCTAACAAACCTCTGATGACTTCGCAGAACAGCTGTATTTATACTGAGATTAAATTATACACAGGTGGACTCTATTTACTAATTAGGTGACTTTTGAAGGCAATTGGTTCCACTAGATTTTAGTTAGGGGTAGCAGAGTAAAGGGGCTGAATACAAATGCACGCCACACTTTTCAGATATTTATTTGTAAAACCTTTTGAAAACCATTTATCATTTTCCTTCCACTTCACAATTATGTGCCACTTTGTGTTGGTCTATCACATAAAATCCCAATAAAATACATTGACGTTTTTGTTTGTAACATGACAACATGTGGAAAATGTCAAGGGGTATGAATACTTTTTCAAGGCACTGTATTTAGAGAGATTTTCTGCCATGAAAAATTCTGGAATATCTGTAGTGAATATAATGAATCTGGGAGAACAATGAGTCAGAGAAGAGCTGCAGAGTGTTGTTGTGTATGACCGCACTCCTCCTCCCCTATGTGACATCTGGGCCTGACATCTGGAAGCCGGAATCACAAGGCTGACCAGTGGATGAAAAGCACAAACAGGCTCTGTCATCCGTGATGGATGGAGAAGTTGGGTGGCTGGGCTGTACCAGAAGATCAAGTCCTTATTACACACTTAAATATGAACACTTTAGAGGACACAAGTCAAAGTACAGGCCAGAAGATGATGTGAAAGGAATCCATAACACGCATCAAAGAAAGAGGAAGAGCGGTTGCTGACACATCAGCTATCATAGAGGTTTCTGCCGATTTCTCCAGTAACAGATGTAACTTTCACCAATGTTTCTCTCTTTTAAACAACAAAAAAGTCAGCACTATGGAAAAGCTGGTGGTCAGGATCACACGACATGCCGAGCTGAAGGGTCACCACCTCTGCTCAAATCAAAGTGGAGTACTAAGCTGAACCCCGGGCACACGGCTAAACACACAGTAAAAACAAATATACAAGAACTGTTTTATCTCCCGTTGGATTTGTAATTATGTTCAGCCTGTCTTGTGATCCAGGAACCCCTGCCGGACAGCACAGCTAGGTCCGTGACTTCGCTTTTCTCTGCTGCATCTAAACAACATTGGTCACCATCCTACTCATGCTTGGTCAAGGAGCGAGATGCGGCACCCTGATCTCTTCTTCTATAAGCATGTTCGAATTGTTGACTGACAACACACTACAAGAGCTCTGATTGGCTGACAGTGCTTCCACAAAATGTGAATACAGCCCTAGTCTAGGTTCACACCTATGCAGGTTGTGTTTGAGGCGTTTCTGCATTGCGTTTTGCACTTGCATTTTTGATGCATCTTTTTTTTTTTTTTCAATTTTTCTTGCTGCTAGGCAGATTTTAAATACAAACGCATCACAATCTCATAAAAAACGCAATACATGTTTTTCTGCATAGTTTCAATTGAAGTCTATAGAACCAAAAACGGAATGTTTTGCGTTAAAAGTCCCTGACCCCTTCAAAAAAACGCACCGGGTGAAAACGCGGAGATGTGAACCTATCCCATAGGAAATCATGTTAAGTTGGAGTACGGTAAAGTGCATCAAAAAAACACCAGATCGCACCTAAATGCGCCAAAAATGCACTGGAATGACCATGTCCTTATGTAAGGTGAAGAAAAAAAATAAGTGAAAAAATGCACCTCAGGACCTGGACGGATTGTTGTCATTGATGGGAAAATGAATTCCAGAGTTTATCAAGACATTTTGCAGGAAAACGTACGACCATCTGTCCGCCAACTGAAGCTCCGCAGAGGATGGGTGATGCAACAGGACAATGACCCAAAGCATACAAGTAATTCAACAAAACAATGGCTGCAACAGCACAGAATACGCCTTCTGGAGTGGCCCAGTCAGAGTCCAGACCTCAACCCGATTGAAATGCTGTGGCAAGACCTTAAGAGAGCGATCCACGCCAGACATCCCAAGAATATTGCTACACTGAAACAGTTTTGTGAAGAGGAGTGGTCCAGAATTACTCCAGATCGTTGTGCAGGTCTGATCTGCAACTACAGGAAACGTTTGGTTGAGGTTATTGCTGCCAAAGGAGGGTCAACCAGTTATTAAGTCCAAAGGTTCACATATTTTTTCCTCCCTGCACTGTGAATGTTTACATGTTATGTGCAATTAAACCATGGCAACATCTAATGTTTGTGTAGTATTATATTCAGCAGACTGTGTTCTTCTATTGTTGTGACTTAGATGACATTCAGAGCACATTTTATGCCCAATTCATGCAAAACTCCACGTAATCCCAAGGGGTTCACATACTTTTTCTTGCAACTGTACATCACAGTATGGTTCCAGTTGCAGAAAAAAAAGTAGAACATGCTGCATTTTTTCTGAACTGTACTAGAGTGCAGTAAAGCACATCAAAAACACACCAGATCGCCCATAAATGAGCCAAAAACACACTGGAATGACCATGTCCTTATGTAAGGTGAAGAAAAAAAGAGAGGAAAAAATGCATTGGAACACACAAAAAATGCACTGAAACACATCAAAAACGCGCATGCAGAAAGTACGTTTGGAACCAGCCTTAATCCCTCGGTCACATCAAATCCGACTTTGAAATTGTGTGACTTCATTTGAATTTGCATGATTTCAAAGTTGGATGTCAGTGCGACTTGGAAGACATCTGTGCGACTTCATGTACAGATGTCGACGCAAGTCGCACATGAACTTGCAAAATGTAATGCATGAACAGAAGGCAATCTAACGACTGGCTTCTGTGGAAAGGGCATGCTGGAGAACCAGCATTCGATCAGTGCTTGCAGCCAATGGCTGCGAGCGCTGATCAGTGTATTCTGGTGGTGGTGGTAGGGGGGATTCCCTGCTGTCAGAATACAATGTCTCAATGGGAGAGATGCCTGCATCAGCATCACTTGTGTGTTTGCAGCGATCTGTCAGTTTATTTTGCATTCAATCCACTGGTTGAACGAAAAGTAAAAACTGAAATTGTGTACCCAGATTAAGTCTACCTTTCCCCTGAAGTGTGATCTGCTTTCAGAGAAAAATGTTTTCACCCCATTTTTGCTGACAAACACGTGGCCATGTTGGGGGAATTTGTGGCACTTCCATGTTTTCCTGAATGTGTCATGTATCTGCCTGCTTTTTGCATCAGGTAAATGCTGCCACAGGAAAGCGTTGCAACTCCAGGTTCACACCGATGCGGTGTGGAATTGGCAGCGTTTTCTGTGCGAATCCTGCACCGCATCACAATTGCACCCCGTTCCTGGGTATCGCTGCGGGTGTGTTTAACACCCTGAAATCGGTCCGCAAAACGCGGTGCGATGTGCAGAATTGGATCGCATAGGTGTGAATACCCATGCAATCCAATTCTAGTGCGGACCAAAAAAAGGGTCCTGCACCTTTTTAGTGCAGGTGCGGTGCAAAAATGTCTGGTTGCAGTCACACAGCACCCAAATCGCATGTGATTTGCACAGGAATGCGGTGCGGTCCCTGTGTGAATCACATGCGATATACCACACCGCATATGTGTGAACCCAGGCTAAAAGAGAAGTATTGGATTTCTTTTTTTTTTTTAATCATACTTTCCTAGGTGGATGCAGGAACAATGCTGCATCTGTCTCCCGCCGGCTCTAAGGCTGAAAACTGTGAAAAAGTGAGCAGAGTAGGCGATAGTCTGATAAATTGGGGTAGAGAGTTCCAGAAGATGGGGGAAGCTCTGGGAAAGTCCTGGAGACGAGCATGGGAGGAAGAGACAAGGGAGCTAGAGAGTAGGAGGTCGTGCAAGGAGCGGAGAGTACGGTTTGGGTGATATTTGGAGACAAGATCGGTGATGTAATTTGGGGCAGAGTTATAAATGGCTTTATACGTTATTGTTAGTGTTTTGAATTTTATCCGTTGGGCAATGGGCTGCCAGTGGAGGGATTGGCAGAGAGGGATGGCTGATACAGAACGGTTCATAAGGTGGAGGAGTCTGGCAGCAGCGTTCATGATAGTCTGAAGAGGGGATAGCCTGCGATTTGGTACTTCTGCTTTAAGGGGGAGAGGGGGCAGTTGGGAGGGCGGCAAAAAAACACAGCTCAACCGCAATTTTTTTACCACCCCTCAACTGTTTTTTGCTTTTGTGTGAGCGGGTCTTTGGTAAGGATATCACTGTCTAATAGCTCTGATCTCCCAGAACTGATGGCTAATATATGGCTGTCAGGCGACTTACAAGCACCTTTAACAGTAGGTCATTAAATATATAAAACAGCAGCATGTCTAATGAAGGAACAAGTGGGGAGCACAGTGTCAGGTTACATAACAAAGCCTGAGGGATAATGCCAACTCGTTTTCACTGTGTACACCTGGAGATTAATTTTCACAGCAGAGAAGTAACACTCAGTGACACATGACTTTCCTTCCCCGCTACTGTGCGTCATCCAGCAATAAATCTTCTAATTCATCGCCCGCCTCATACGGGGAATTAAACCTCCAGAAACAGCCAAGTCTTATGATTGACCATAATTCAGTGAGCAGTATTCAGAGATAAGATAGGAATACAAAAACTCTTCTTCCTGATAGACAAGGAGAGCTATCAATAGAATCAAGGGCAGACCCAGGTCGAATCAGGCTATATATCCTTTAACTTAAAGTCTTACTAACCCCAGGACCCTGCATTCACTATATCCGGTCTCCCCGGACCCCGCATTCACTATATCCGGTCTCCCCGGACCCTGCATTCACTATATCCGGTCTCCCCGGATCCTGCATTCACTATATCCGGTCTCCCCGGACCCTGCATTCACTATATCCTCTCCCCGGACCCTGCATTCACTATATCCGGTCTCCCCGGACCCTGCATTCACTATATCTGGTCTCCCAGGACCCTGCATTCACTATATCCGGTCTCCCCGGACCCTGCATTCACTATATCCGGTCTCCCAGGACCCTGCATTCACTATATCCGGTCTCCCCGGACCCTGCATTCACTATATCCGGTCTCCCAGGACCCTGCATTCACTGTATCTGGTCTCCCCGGACCCGGCATTCACTGTATCTGGTCTCCCCGGACCCGGCATTCACTGTATCTGGTCTCCCCGGACCCTGCATTCACTATATCTGGTCTCCCCGGACCCTGCATTCCCTATATCTGGTCTCCCCGGACCCTGCATTCACTATATCTGGTCTCCCCAGACCCTGCATTCACTGTATCTGGTCTCCCCAGACCCTGCATTCACTGTATCTGGTCTCCCCACACCCTGCATTCACTATATCTGGTCTCCCCAGACCCTGCATTCACTGTATCTGGTCTCCCCAGACCCTGCATTCACTGTATCTGGTCTCCCCAGACCCTGCATTCACTGTATCTGGTCTCCCCAGACCCTGCATTCACTGTATCTGGTCTCCCCGGACCCAGCGTTCACTGTATCTGGTCTCCCCGGACCCTGCGTTCACTATATCTGGTCTCCCCGGACCCTGCGTTCACTATATCTGGTCTCCCGGACCCTGAATTCACTATATCTGGTCTCCCCAGACCCTGCGTTCACTATATCTGGTCTCCCCGGACCCCGCGTTCACTATATCTGGTCTCCCCGGACCCCGCGTTCACTATATCTGGTCTCCCCGGACCCCGCGTTCACTATATCTGGTCTCCCCGGACCCCGCGTTCACTATATCTGGTCTCCCCGGACCCCGCGTTCACTATATCTGGTCTCCCCGGACCCCGCGTTCACTATATCTGGTCTCCCCGGACCCCGCGTTCATTATATCTGGTCTCCCCGGACCCCGCGTTTACTATATCTGGTCTCCCGGACCCCGCGTTCACTATATCTGGTCTCCCCGGACCCCGCGTTCACTATATCTAGTCTCCCCGGACCCCGCGTTCACTATATCTGGTCTCCCCGGACCCCGCGTTCACTATATCTGGTCTCCCCGGACCCCGCGTTCACTATATCTGGTCTCCCCGGACCCCGCGTTTACTATATCTGGTCTCCCCGGACCCCGCGTTCACTGTATCTGGTCTCCCCGGACCCCGCGTTCACTATATCTGGTCTCCCCGGACCCCGCGTTCACTATATCTGGTCTCCCCGGACCCCGCGTTCACTATATCTGGTCTCCCCGGACCCCGCGTTCACTATATCTGGTCTCCCCGGACCCCGCGTTCACTATATCTGGTCTCCCCGGACCCCGCGTTCACTATATCTGGTCTCCCCGGACCCCGCGTTCACTATATCCGGTCTCCCCGGACCCCGCGTTCATTATATCCGGTCTCCCGGGACCCCGCGTTCATTATATCCGGTCTCCCGGGACCCTGCATTCATTATATCCGGTCTCCCTGGACCCTGCGTTCGCTATATCTGGTCTCCCCGGGACCCTGCGTTCGCTATATCTGGTCTCCCCGGACCCTGTGTTCACTATATCTGGTCTCCCCGCACCCTGCGTTCACTATATCTGGTCTCCCCGGACCCTGCGTTCGCTATATCTGGTCTCCCCGGACCCCGCATTCACTATATCTGCTCTCCCCGGACCCTGCATTCACTATATCTGGTCTCCCCGGACCCTGCATTCACTATATCTGGTCTCCCCACACCCTGCGTTCGCTATATCTGGTCTCCCCGGACCCTGCATTCCCTATATCTGGTCTCCCCGGACCCTGCATTCACTATATCTGGTCTCCCACAGTACACACAACATGCATATGCAATTATTTTAGTAAATATAAACTGTTGAATACCTTTTCTCATCAGCAGTTAGAACAGTCTTGTGACTTCTATCAGTGTCCAGCAGCGCACTGGTTAAGGCTCCATGGGCGTTTTGATAACCCTGGTAACGTTAGCTGTGTAAAGTCATGTTTTTCAGCTTTTTTTCAGTGTTCTTGCATTAGCGTTTTCCCACGTTTTTCCGAGTTTGGGGTTTTCAGAGTTTAAAAAAAAAAAAAAAAAAAAAATATATATATATATATATATATATATATATATATATATATATATACAGTTGCAAGAAAAATTATGTGAACCCCTCGGATTACGTGGAGTTTTGCATGAATTGGGCATAAAATGTGCTCTGAACGTCAACTAAGTCACAACAATAGAAGAACACAGTCTGCTGAACATAATACTACACAAACATTAGATGTTGCCATGGTTTAATTGCACATAACATGTAAACATTCACAGTGCAGGGAGGAAAAAGTATGTGAGGCCCTAGCTTAATGACTTCTCCCAGAGCTAATTGGAGCCAGGAGTGAGCCAACCTTGACTCCAATCAGTGTGATGATATTGGATGTGTTGCTGACAGCTGTCCTGCCCTTAAAAAACACACACCTGTTTTGGGTTTACTGGTTTCAAGAAGCACTGTCTGATGTGAACCATGTCTCGCAGAAAAGAGCTCTCAGAAGACCTACAATCAAGAATTGTTGACTTGCATGAAGCTGGAAAGGGTTACAAAAGTATCTCCAAAAGCCTTGATGTTCATGTGTCCACGGTAAGACAGACTGTCTACAAATGGAGAAAGTTTAGCACTGTTGCTACTCTCCCTAGGTGTGCTCGTCCTGTAAAAATGACTGCAAGAGCACAGCACAGAATGCTGCATGAGGTAAAGAAGAATCCCAGAGTGTCAGCTAAAGACCTACAGAAATCTCTGGCACATGCTAACATTTTTGTTGACACATTTACAATAAGAAAAACATTAAACAAGAATGGAGTACATGGGAGGACACCACGGAGGAAGCCATTGCTGTCCAAAAAGAATATTGCAGCACGTTTGAAGTTTGCAAAAGAGCACCTGGATGTTCCACAGCACTACTGGCAAAATATACTGTGGACAGATGAAACCAAGATTGAGTTGTTTGGGAAGAACTCACAACACTATGTGTGGAGAAAAAAAGGCACAGCACACCAACATCAAAACCTCATCCCCACTGTAAAACATGGTGGAGGGAGCATCATGGTTTGGGGCTGCTTTGCTGCCTCAGGGCCTGGACGGATTGTTGTCATTGATGGGAAAATGAATTCCAGAGTTTATCAAGACATTTTGCAGGAAAATGTACGACCATCTGTCCGCCAACTGAAGCTCCGCAGAGGATGGGTGATGCAACAGGACAATGACCCAAAGCATACAAGTCATTCAACAAAACAATGGCTGCAACAGCACATAATACGCCTTCTGGAGTGGCCCAGTCAGAGTCCTGACCTCAACCCGATTGAAATGCTGTGGCATGACCTTAAGAGAGCGATTCACACCAGACATCCTAAGAATATTGCTACACTGAAACAGTTTTGTGAAGAGGAGTGGTCCAAAATTACTCCAGAATGTTGTGTGCAGGTCTGATCTACAACTACAGGAAACGTTTGGTTGAGGTTATTGCTGCCAAAGGAGGGTCAACCAGTTATTAAGTCCAAAGGTTCACATACTTTTTCCTCCCTGCACTGTGAATGTTTACATGTTATGTGCAATTAAACCATGGCAACATCTAATGTTTGTGTAGTATCATGTTCAGCAGACTGTGTTCTTCTATTGTTGTGACTTAGATGACGTTCAGAGCACATTTTATGCCCAATTCATGCAAGACTCCACGTAATCCCAAGGGGTTCACATACTTTTTCTTGCAACTGTATATATATATATATATATATATATATATATATATAATATATTTTTTTTTTTTGGTAAAAAAAAACCCTCCAAAAAATGCCAGTTTGCTGTGTTTTACCGCGTTTTTCAACGTTAGAGCGTTTTTACAGCTAAAAACTGCTTTAGAAACTCACTAGTCCTGGGTTTTTTTCCCAGCCAAAAATCATCATTGCAAAAAAAATGCAGATTACAGTCTATGTGTGTATGGACACATAGGATAACATGCTGGGGAGTTTACTGGCTGTAGAAAGAATGTCAAAAGCCAATAACAGCTGATGTAAAAATGTCCAGTGTGCATGAGGAGCTAAAGCTTGTTAGAGGCGTTTTCTTTCTGCTCTAGGAGGATGCAAAACCCCTGACCTCTTTCTGGACAGTGCTGATTGGCCCTGTGCTGATCACATGCACTCTCCTAAGAAAAAAACAAAACAAAAACCTCTCTAGCAATACACACGGTGCAGAATGGCTACGGTCCAGTCTGTCTTATCAGGAGTTAAGACGTGGACTTTTGAACAAGAGGAGGAGCAGAAAAGTCAGGATCAAATGGCCTTTTTACACAATGCAGAGGATTAACCCCTTAGGTTCCA